CCCCCCCCCCCGCCTCCCATAGAGGCAGGGGGGGAGGGGATGGGGCCAGGCAATATAGGTGGGAAGCTGGCTTTCAAGCCAGCTCCACTCCCTGCAAGTTCTGGCTCCTCCCTTCTCCCCCCTCTTCATGTAAACACTGAAAAATTCAGCGGATACAAATTTACAAAAATAAACATTTGTTAACATCCCTACTTCACAAGGCTACCAGCCCCTGTCCATAGTGCAGGGGAGGGGATAGTTGGCACTGCAGTGCATGCCTGGGGTGGTGGCAGTCCAGCAAGGATGGAGTGGCCTCCTTCCTCACCCACCCCCATTCAATCCGTTAGTAGGTTAAACTTAACATTTAATTGGATAGCTAATTAAACAGGATTTTCCATCTCTGCTTTGTATTAGTCTTTGCTCCTGAGGACATTAAGGAGATAACTGTGCTTTGCTGGTAACTTTCATGAAGTACTATCAAATTGCTTACCAGTTAACCAAATGGGTCTGGTGATGGAAATGATGGATGTTAAAATGTGTTTACTCTGGTAAATGTGTAACTGCTGAAATTTCCCTGGTGCCTGTGCTCTCAGGAGCCTCTGATACAGAGGCTGCGGCATAGGGGGAGGAGGGGGGCCTACATGTAGCCATGAAGGCTTGTCCATTAACCATTTATACTACACATCCCTAGCAGGAAATAGGTCGGGACAGCCAGCAAGGCTGCAGCAGCACCAGCCACACTGTGTGGGGGTAGATGGGACCCCAGCTGCACCCAAAGCCCAGGCTGCTGTTTGTGCCAGAGCGACATGGACCTCAGGTCTAATCTAGATTGTCATAAACTGCATACTCAAATTTTGACTCTCTACTCTTCATGGAAATCTAAAATTTCTTCTTCTCACTTGTCTAGGTTTCAGACCAGAAGCCTCTGGGCTGTTGGTCAGTCAAACAAGATCAGACAATCACATGCCCAGCTGTATGTAACTTTGAAACTGGTGAATACATTGCTGTCCATGATGATAAGGTGAGAGATCTGTTTTTCAGCGTCTGATGATATAAAATTTTCTGAGTGAATTATAAGTCATTGTTGACGGTGATTTATCTGTCTAAAGAATTGGAAAAGTGTGGAGTTTTCCAAAATCAGTGTAGCTACTAATTTCCTTGGGGGTTTTCCAGGATTTGAAAAGCCTCAAGTTGCAGACCATCAGAATTTGGAGTACCTCAGTCATTCCATCTTTATGCATTAGTGGAAAAGATAGCATGCAGCACTGGGATTAAACACACATTTTGAGGGGCATGAGGGGAAAGAAAATATCTTATGTTGAGAAGCACGTATTCAGTTACTTTCCTTTTGAAAACTTGCAAGTTTTTTTCCCATAAAAAGTCTTTTCAGCTGACATACATAAGCATAAGAAAATGTTGGTTAAGATAAATTGTACAGAAATAAATATTTACATTTTACATTGTGAGACTTGTTTTAATACCCAGTTGAGATAATTGGGGTAGTTGACATCTTCACATCTCCTGTTCTGCTACCATCCTTATCTCTTTGCTCTCATTTTTTAAAATGATAATTGAGAGAGGAGTTTGTTCCTATTTCTATTTCTGATCAATAACCATGGGTTCTGTTTCTTTACGCTTCTTCATACACTTTCTCATGCCAGTGAATTATACTAGTGAATCCTACTTATATCTCTCTAGCCTGGGCCCTTACCTGGTAGAGGGTAATGTGGATCGTATCCCCAACTCCTTTCATCTGATTTTTCATTTTTCTTCCTTTTCAGTCTATCCTCATGGTTTTGTTTTCCTTCAGTTCATGCTACCATAATATTCTGCTCTCAAAATCTATCCATACACTGTTTCAAATGTAAACTTCTTGAGGTTGTGCTGAATTTTTGCTACTCCACTCTTTCAACTCTTGCCTAGGTTCCCTGGCTGTCTCTCCAGTATAAACCACTCCCTTGAGACTGCTCTAAGATCACTCCTTATGAATTCAGAATTAATTCAAAATGTCTTGATATATATGCTTTCACTCACAGATCTCGTATGTCAGTCTGTGATATACACCAAATGGACTGCTTCATTGAGTTTATAAAACCATTTATATTTTAACAGGTTTTAAGAATATGGAAGGATGAAGACATGAATTTGGATAAAGTGTTTAAAGCAACAGTAAGTTTTTAAAGAGAATATACGTTATTAATTATAAATTAGTATTAAGAAATTTTGGAAGGGAGGATGTTTTTTTCAGTTACATGTCTCCTTTAACTTATACTTCCAGTAATATGGGATATTACTAGTAATTCACCTGTGCCCTTTGGTTTAAACATCTCTGGCAAATATTAGACTTAAAATGGTTAGGGCCAGTGAAACAATAGAATTTATAGGACTTGAAATCTTCTGAAGGGGGCCACAGGGCTAATCACTTTTCAATACCTAAAGTTTCTTCTAGCCTATTGCTATGAGTAAGAAGTAAATTATTCAAGTGAATGGGAGTTTTTCAATTAGAAAATATTGATTTGCATTTTGCCTTGTTTTATAGTGAGGTCTGGTTGGTGGATATGTGTGTTAGCAGTTGTATTTAAGTGTTTAGTGTTAGTTGAGTGTTCTGAATTGTAACTTGTGACACTAATCAAGTTGGAATTGAGGTTTTTCTAGTAATTGCCTCATTGAGCAGTGAAATGATGCATCTCAAATTTGTCAGAAAAGTGGAACTTGCTTGGATGCCATTATGAGGAATTCTGGCATCAGTCTTTTGCTAGTTAGTTTAATAAATGTGTAGAAATAAAAATAGAGAAATCAAACATAAAACAGCCTTGGGGCAATTAATTGTTAATGTAGAATAAACTTTTAAATAGGACTCTCTCTTTGCAGCTGACAGCGGAGGTATATCGGATACATTCACTACCTGACACAGAGCCACTTGTGCTATTCAAGAGGGGTGCTGTGCGAACCTTAGATGCTCTGCTGGCAGCACCGCAACAAGAAATTGAAAATGTTATCTCAGATGAAGACATTAGGTGAGTGATATCATTTTAGGTAACTAGCTTTGTAATCCAAAATATTAATGGTCTTATGTGAATCAAGTTCTGCTTCTGCTGTCTGTCTTGTGTGGCCTGAAGTGTGTGCTGCAGAGGTAAGAGCTTTATCGTACTAAAAAAAATCTTATGCGCTACTATTTTATGGCTATAAGTCTGTATCATGTTGGAATTAGAATATATCTATAAAGGTCTAAATGCATAATTAATGTGTTTAGATTATTGACGATCATGATTGTCATCAGTTCTAATGGGAGTGCATCCAAAAGATTATATCTAGAGTTTTAAGGTGTTACCTTAAATGTAGGTATTGCTGATGTATTTTAATGGAATTCCCATATAAAAATGTTCAATTCTTTTTACTTGTAACAAGAAATAATCTTACAACTTTCATCTTTTAGGTGGAGTGATGCTTTCATGGAAACTCAACAACCTGTTTTAATTTTTATTACTGAGAAAGTAAGTGTCTTTTTTCACTTTTTTACAGCAAAATAATCTATGAAATATCAGGGTTTTAAAATCAATTTAGACTTTCATTGCAATTTCACTGAGGCCTTATTACAATTGTGGTGTTCTATAATGATTAGCATGAATTAGCTGGAAAATCTACAGAATGTCATATAGCTTTTCAGGAATAGTGAACTGTTCTCATTGTCCTGGGGATGAGGAAAAGTCAGGACATTTAATTATAATGAAAAAGTGGCAACCGCTTAAAAATAAGACTTGGAGATGCTTACAACTTTAAAGCTATATTTTCTGCTATATATTTAAGAGAGTTTGTGGGTCTTCTCCGTCTTTGTTCAAGAACTCCTTCTAAATGGTAAGAGGCTAGCATCACTAAATTTGGAATGCAGCTTCCTCTTATTTTAACTTAAAAGTAAGGGTTTGGTTCTGCCAGGACAATGGTATGTGTCTGGATTATGATTTTCTTACAACAAAAAGGGTGGGATTTGCTAGCACGGACAGTCATACTGTATAATGACCACAGGGGGCAGCAAGGGGCTAGAGATAGGGACTGGCCAGCTATAACCCCATTGGGGTAGCCCAGGACGGGGTGGAGAAAGGGACAGCTATTCTCCTATATATTTAAGTGAGTTGTCTGTGTCGTCTCTTCTCCCCCCAAGCCAGGAAACATGCACACCTACCTGGCTATGCCTGCTGCAGCAGCCAGGGACAGGCACATCTCACCTGGCCCCAAACTGGGCTGCAGTGAGAGAGGGATGGGGTTGTCCCCTCTTCCCTGGGGCAGCCTGCACGCTGAACTGCTCAGCCCCACCCAAGAGCCCAGTGATCTCAGTTAACCAGTTAAAGGATATAATTTTAAACTATTACCTAATTAACTTTTTAAACAATATTTACAATCACTGTGTTTGACTTAAGGATGTTCAAATGCGGTTAATGGACTAGTAGACGGAATTTCCATTGACTAGTTGATAGGCTTTTCCGCATTCCTCCTTTGAAATGTACAAGAGCCTCTTCTGGGGCGTGCAGTGTAGCATGGAGCCCAGGGTCAGTGGGGACTCTCATACATTTTAAAGGAGGAATGCGGAACTCCGCGTGCAGCCCGGGGGCAGCATGAAGTCCCGCTGGCTCCGGGCTGCACGTGGCGTGCCTGCTTTGAAATGCACTAGAGTCCCCAGCGGGGGCTCTTGTGCATTTCAAAGCCATGGAGCCTGGGGTCAGTGGGGGAATCGCAGTCCCCCCTCTGACCTCAGGCTCCATGCTACGCTGCATGCCACTAGGAGCCCTAGGGTAAGCTGGGGAGTCCCTGATCAGCTGTGTAGCGGCTTCCTCTTTGAAACTGCCGCCTCTGTGCCTCCTCAGCTGACCCCGGGCTCTAGGCTGCCCCTTTGAAAAGCGCACAGGCAGCATTTTAAAGGGGCAGCTGCTGCACCTTTGAAAAGCAACCTTGGGGTTTCAAAGTGACAGCCTCTATCTCCTAGAGGTGGCCGGGGGAAAGCGGATAGTCAACTAGTCTTTTACATCATTAATTTGACTCTCATATACACTGATTAGTGACTGATTGTGGTTCTCTGAAACTTTTACTATTTCATTTTCACATTTTTGTTTTTATCTTTCCTGTAAATCCATTTGTATTCCATTAGTTTATAATGTCATTTCATTTTACATTAATTTTGAAAACTGTTTCATGTGAGTTTTTTTTTTTCCAGCACATCCAGTTAAGTTTAGGTTCATAACTCTAAATGTGTGTGTTCACTGCTACTAGTCTAATAAAAATAATAGCTGTAGCATGTCTGTTCTGTAAATAAGAGCTATAAACTAATTTTCTTTTTTTTCTTTTTTTAAAAGAATGGGAATTATTTTGTGTATGTGCAGAAGGTTAACCCAAATATCCTACACAAGTACAAGCTTGAACTAGAAGAATCATTCCATCCACTGTGTTTTACAACATATACAAAAAACAAGATTCTCACACTCCTATGTTTGTGTAAGTCTTATGATGGATGTAATTGATTGAAACTTGTAAATTAACGACTACAGCTGCTAGTGTATTGTTGTCTGTCTATTTTTGGTATTAAATGTTGTTATATAGAACATCAGAAAGTTAGAAGTAAGTAATTAAAACATCATTTTAGTCTTAATCCTGATCATGGTATATGTTGCACAGTGTGATGTCTTTAAGAGAGGTCTGCATTCTGAACTGATTGGATTGTAATTAAGTTAGTACACTTTAGGTTAGCTTTTCATGTGCAGATTTTATAATGTTTTTAGATGTATGTATGAAGTTCTAGAAAAATGTAGAGGTAGCGTTTGCCACAATTTTAAACTTGAAACGAAGTGCCACTTCTCTCTTCTGATAGATTCTAATGGATGTGTATATAAGATTCTGGTGTCACTGCAACAAAGTGTCCAAGAGGAACAGCAAATTCTGTCCAAATCATTACTGCTCAAAATTGTAGAGTCTGGCACTGTTCTAAAAGGAGCTTCATTAGCTGTTCTCGATAAAGATCATGTTGCAGTACTCGGATGTTTGGATTCTCCACCTACTATTGCTAAAGGTAACTTTGAAATGACTTACTTTATTTAACTTGTAAAACAAAGTTCAATTCGTTGTATAGATCAGTTGGTGGATTATTTTTGTGGTCTTTTCATGGGAAAGAATGATCTTGGGTTGGAATTTATAATCGGAATTTACAACTTTTCTTAGAGCCCTAATTATTTAATGGGAATGGTAAGGAAACTGAATTTCAGACAAAATTCACAGTTGGAAACTACTCCAGTCATCTGAAGAAGTGGGTTATGGCTACAAAAGCTCTTGACACCATCTACGTGTTTTGTTAGTCTTTAAGGTGCTACTAGACTATTTGTTGTTTTTCGAGTTACAGACTAACTTGGTTACCCCTCTGAAGCTACTGTAGTACAGTTAATTTATGCATCTGAGTGATCTGTAATCTACATAACGAAGAGATGCCACTACAGTTTAACTGTTGCTACAGTCAAACCCAAGATTGAAGACTATTTTTGCTATTGAATTTCACTCTCTAAACTGCAGTATTTCAAATGGTATGAAAATATAGTGGGAATAGCCATCACATATTTTAATACTTGGTAAATTCTCCTTTTACATACTGAAAGTATCTACTTGTACTGCAAGTAAAGCTGTCCAGGAAATAGAATTTCAGTCCTTGGGCACACTGAAGAGCTTTCACAACATTTTCTGTCCTAAATCAGGATGAAAAGTCAAATTTTACTCCCAGTGGAATTGTGCATCACTGCAGGTGCACAAAATATATGTCCCACACAAGAGCAGTCAAGTGCCTCTCCCCAGCAGCACAGGCAGGTTGGTTCAGGTGCCCAAAGCAGCTTGTAGAGATGTTGGGGGAAGGGGTAGTATGAGGGATGCTAGGCAGTCATACATGTGAGAGAAACAGACACTCAGTCCCTCTTGCTTACTGTTGCTGCCTGGTCTGTATAGGGGGACAGGGCTTCGGGGTATTTCTGAGGAAGCAAGCTTGGGGCAGACTCTTGTCTCCTCAGGCAGAGCAGAATGTAGCAGATGCCTGCTTTGTGAATTGTTCTCATTGCCTTTAATTTCCCCCAGGATTATAAAACAGGTGTAAAAGTTTTAAGGCTCCTGTACACTGCCAGAGTGGTGGAAAGAACATTATGGCCTTGTAAATGCTTATGGTGCTTTTGTGGTTAGAACAGGTCTACGTTTTTGACTGAAAATCTCCTGTCAAAATGTATTCCATTAACTCTTTGCTACTGATCTTTTTGGAGATGGTCAGTTGCCAATATGAATTGTTTGTTTCCCAGCCTTCGCTTGCTCTTCAGTTGCCGATGGTGTAACATGGAGCATATGGTTGCATGTATTGATAATACTAGAAAGAAAGGGTCAAAACTAACTACATTACTATAGAGTAAGGGAATTTAGAGATCTTCTCCAATACTCCCCTCTCCCATTCTCTAACCGTTCTATTGTAATTTAAATAAAAAGTAAATAATTGAAACCAGAATGATTATAGTTCATAATTTTGACTGATAAAATATGTAAAATTTTAAAATATTGTGTGCAAAATCTTTAATTTTTTGATGCAGAATTCCCCCAGGAATAAAATTAAGCTTGCACAAGATAGAATTTCCAAAATACTTTTGGCATTGGATGCACTGAAATGCAAGCAGGCCCTCCAACAGGTGATGGCAAAGGGGGCAGCTGTCCTGGGGCCTGGAGATTGAGGGGTGCAGAGCTACTGGCCACAGTCACTGCTAATCACTTTGAACTCTCAATGTACCTGTTTCCCCCCCCCCTTTTTTTTTTCTTCCCTGTAGCATGCCTCTCTATATGGAATACAAAATTTCAAACATTGCAGACTTCAAAAGAACTACCACAGGGAACTTCAGGACAAGTAAGCTGTAGTTTTAGTATTTGATAGATGTCGTACTGTAGGCTTCAGTCTAACAAACTTGGCATTTCAGTTTCACTTTTGAAATGAGCACATGCAACAGATGGGAGTCCATGGTGGGAGTGGGACTAATGTTTTGTTTAAGCCATAGTAAGAGAAACAATTGAAGTTTTGAATAACATGATAGAACACTTGAAAAATGTTCAACTCTTGACCATGTGTCTTCAGGCAATATAGGTTTATGCCAGGGGTGGGCAAGACAGCCACCATGGGCTGAATATGCCCACAGCCACCCTGCCACTCCCCCACCCCTAGGCCAATTGAGACTTTAGGATGGGGGAGCACATGAAGTCTCCTTCCCCTCCCCACTAGGGATGTGTGGTGCCTAGCAGGAAGCACCAGCTGTTCAGAACAGCAGGCGATTCTCTCTTGGCACTGAGGGGCAAAGATTTCATGCACTCTCCTACTCCAGACCAATCGGGGTCTGTGGGTAGGGGAGCATGGGAAGTGTCCTGGCCCCGCCCCTTCTGGGGCAGCCCAGGGCCACTTAAAAAATTTGTGAAGTGTCCCTGTCCTCCCTCCCTCCCCCCCCTAAAATTATTACCCACCCCAGCTTATGCAATTCAATTGCTAGAGAGGTGTCTTGGGAGGCAGGCTTTTTAAACCATACATTGATTTAAAAGACATGGTTTTGAAAGTCCAGTAGGAAGCACATAGTCTACCACCCAAATAAAGCTTTCGTTTCATTCACATTTAGTATCATTGATCAGGCAGACTCAGTTAATGTTTTAGAAGATGGTAAGAATAGATGTAAAGAACCCTCTTACGGAGATGTTTAAAGAATCTTTATTGAATCAATTTTTGTGTGCCGGTCCAAATTAGCTTCTTTATTTCATCTGTTCATTAACAATGTACTTAATATTTTGTAGTTGTGGTGTTACGGAGAGAAATTTTTTTTAACACATGGGAAGGTGCTAACTGTAATCCTATACAAGTGTGAAATGTCATCCTTGGCAGCTGCTGTTGGAAAACTCAAGGATACTCAAACCTCAAGTAAGAGCTTGATTATAAATATTGTTTATTGAATACCTTGCATTTCAGCATACATCATACCATTAACGTTCTGTTGGGGAAAAACTTCATAGAAAAAAATGAATTGGTCTTACAGGAAAAATAGTTAAACTCTAAACAGTTTGAATACTAGCTTAACTTTGCATTCTGTTACTTCAGTTTTTTGCAAAAGATGTGCAATAATGCACTTCCGTGACACTACATGGAGTATGGATGCAGTGAAGCTGAGAGCATCCTAATGTGTGTTAGTGCTTGTGCACTGTGAATTTCCTTACAATATGTTTAACAGTAAGCATTCACTTACTACATTTATTTGTATGGCTTATTTGTAGAAGAATAACAACTATCCAGTATTTTGCTGAACGATTGTTTATTATGCTAGTTAAAGTTCTATTACGTCTATTAATAAAACTACCTGTGCCATTTTTTAGTTAGAAGCTTTATTTTAAAGCATCTTTGCAGACAATACTGACTCTTTTCCCTGTAATATGAATTCCATTATTTTCAGACTTCAGATGACAGTCCTTTGGCTCAAAGGTAGTTCTTAGCACTGCCTTCTCTGAAAATATTGTTTTGTGGAGACAATTTAACATCAGTCATACCGTTGCATCTTTAAAATATTTAAAACATGTCTAATCCTAAATATTAGAATAGAGTCAGGATAGATTTCAGTGCTCCTGGTACATTTTTATCTTCATTGATGCAGCAGCTGTGTTTACCTTGTTTTCTAGGAAAACCTTTTTACTTAATGCTGATCTTAAAGTTTAATTTTATTAAGAAGATGCATGCAATAGGAAACATTTTTTTTACTGACTAGGAATAAGCCAGTATTTTAAATTGCTTTGGAGATGCTAGATTATCCCTGATTCTATTAGAGAAAGAAATATTAGGATTAATTTACTTTGGTTCTTAGTGAGTGCACTTTTTTGTAACTTTTATATAAGTTTCATATAACTTTGTTTACACAGGCATGAGAACTGTGTTTTCATCTGTAAATTGGAATATGCTTCATGAAGAACATCTGACATCTCCACACACAGAGCAACCTGTAATAGCTAAAAATGAATCCAAGAGAAATGTATGTTCCATGATTATCTTTTCCTTGGTTTTCTTTGTGTTATAAGTGAATGTAATTTCAAATCTTCATTGTTGGCTGTGACATCTAATCATGCTTGTAAAACTGAAACACTTCTCAGCATTGCTTGGCTGGTGACCTTAAGCCAGGAGTGCCTACACTTTTTCTGTTCGTTCTTCTCCCCCTCCCTTTTCCAGTAATGGAATTAGTGTCTGCCTCCCTCCATTACTGCTCCGTAGAGGAGCTTGGGCTAAAGGCAGTGCTGTGGGCTGAACTGGGATGACGTGGACCTGGCCTCGGGTTCAAAAAGAGATGAGCGCAGAGTAGCAGGTGGGGTTGAAGCAGAGCAGTGGCCAGGGGGAGGCATGGCACTTTGTCCTCAACTTGGGTGGAGACCTGACCTGAGCCCTACTGCACATCTTCCTTGAATGTTCCTCTACACCCACCTTGTGGGTGAACCCCACAGTTTGGGGAACATTACCTTAAAACCTACATACTATTGCTGCAACGGAGAGAGAAGATATTTGTGCTGTTCCTAGTTCTTTTGATGAACAATTGCAATTTTTGCCCTGTCTTTGAGTAATTTTTTCCTTTAAATTACAGTTAAGATCAAGAAGGAGTAATGTTGCAAAAGTGCAGCCACAGACCCTTACAGTTGAACAGCTTTTATCAGATATAAAGGTAAGTAAATAAAATATCCTTAATGCATATTTTACTAACCAAATTAAAAGCTCTCAAAATAAGACAATACAAACGACAGATGAAGATCTGTCATTCCTCCTCTTCCTTTTCTGTCCTTGCAGCTTGAGACATAGGCTTGTAAGAGCTATCCAATTTGGCGATTAATCCATTCGTATAACTATTCTGCAAGAAGAGTAGTTCATGTATAAAACTAATGAAATTAAAGCTAGTTCTTTCAGTAAAGTTTTAGAAATGTACTATACAGCAGCTAGATAATTTTAATATTATAAATGTAGCCTTGCATAAAGATGTGGGCCTTACATTTAAGGCTGTAGACATTCTGAGGTAAATGGCAACACTTAGAGAAAAGATTCTGAGATGAACTCTAGACTTGTGCCTTTTTGGACCTTTTTCTGTCAGGAATATTTCAGTTTTTTGGAATTTAAATAGGACCTTTATATGGAGGCTTGAGGCATTAATGCTACAACATAAAATTCTTCCTAAGTCTTCATGCCTTAGTTTCTGTATTCAATGTAAAACAAACTACAAAGATGGCTTCCCCAATTATCACCTCTAATATCATTAGCTCACAGACATTTCCCCCCCCTCCCCCCACCATCCTCCCCCCCCGATTTTGTCCTTTTCATATGTGTTCTTTTTTTTAATTGTATCCTTTGGTATATATGGTTGTGACTATTTATTTTCTTCCACTATTTGATCTGAGGAAGTGGGTCTGGCCCACGAAAGCTCATCATCTAATAAACCATCTTGTTAGTCCTTTAAAGTGCTACATAGTTCTGTATTTTACTTTGTTTTTAAAATTCATATGAAGATGAAGGCCATCTTACTACCGCTTCCAAAATAAGGTCATTTAAATGTAATACCTATATAAAAACTAATGATTTTCACTGTACAGGCAGTCCCCGAGTTACGCGGATCCGACTTACGTGGGATCTGCAGTTATGAACAGGGCCCTCTCCCTGGTCTCCAGCAGACCAAGGAGAGGAAGCAAAGCGGCAGAGCATGCGGGCAGCGGACAGCCCAGACGGGTCTGGGC